GGGCAAGGTTGCAAGGTTTGGTTGATGATCTATAATTCCATTCACTTAATCGTGCCATTCCAACAAGGATATAACTTATCATTTCATGTGGCTTTTTGATTCCAACTGTCATGAAACTTTTCCAGTGATCCATATAGATGGGTATTGATGTGAGACACATGAAGATATTCCAATAACACCAGTCAAGCATATATCTTGAAAAGGGCCTATATGTAAAGCAAGGGTGCTATATCCGAGTTTAGGTTGGGGCTTATTTCCATAGGTTTGACCTTGACATCTCCATCGTCACTTAATCTGTCATGTTTAATCATAAACCCATTGCTTACTGGTGACAAACACCTAGGGTGTTACAGTGAGAATCGTCGTAGTCGTTGCTTTACAGGCTTGGAGCCTTCATTGATATCGATTCTGTGCTCAGCCAACTCTCTTGGGACACCTGGCATGTTGGCCGGCTTCCAAGCGAAGATATCTTTGTTGTCCCGAAGAAAGTTGGTGAGCACGAGTTCCTATTTTGCCGAGAGGTGGGCACTGATGGTTGCTATCTTGGAGGGATCGCCAGTGCCCAGGTCGATTTGCTTGACGTCGGCTTCTTTTGGTGGTGCGAGGATGTTGGGCTTTTTAGTCGGTATCTCTAGTTCTTCTTGGCTTATTTCTGCGGCAATAGTGGCTATTTCTTTTCTACCATTGTCGGCTTGTGCTTTGGCTGCGATTTGGATTGCCTGAACGTCGCAGTCAAAAGCGCACTTCAAATCACTTCGAAGAGAAAGGACACCGTTAGGTCCTGGCATCTTAAGCAGTAGGTACGGATAATGCGGTATTGCCATGAATTTTGCTAGCGCTGGGCGCCCGAGGATTGCATGGTATGATGAATCAAAGTCCGCAACCTCAAACTTGATGAACTCTGTACGGTAGTTCGAGGGAGTTCCAAAAGTAATGGGTAGAGTAATTTGTCCAAGTGGCATGGCTGCCTTGCCGGGTACTATGCCATAAAAAGGTGTACTTGTTGGTGTAATCATCCCGGCGAGTTGTAGTCCCATCTTCCTTAGCGTTTCTGAAAAGATGATGTTGAGTCCGGCTCCCCTGTCGATTAGTACTTTGGTGATAGTCATATCGGCAATGGTTGGATCTAGAACCAGTGGGTAATGGCCTGCGTTTCCCATGCTAGTCCATTGGTCTTCTCTTGAAAATTGGATTGGATACTGTGACCAATTGAGATATCTTGGAGTAGCCGGTTCTGCTGCCATGATAGTTCGTAGTGCTAATTTTTCTTGATGTTTACTTCTGGAATCTGGGGCCCCGGAGAAGATCACTGCTACCGTCCCCCTGGATTTTTGGAATCCCTTGTCTTCGTGGTTGTCCTCATCTTTTTTATGATTGTCTTCTTTAGTGTTCCCCTTACTATCTTTTTTTGTGTATCGATAGTTGAAGGTGTAGCAATTTTCGATGGTGTGCTTCCCATTAGGGTGCAATGGGCAACGTATGTTTTCGATGTCGTCATATCTTCTGGGTTTGGAAAACTTCTTTGATTTGTCAGCCATTGCCACGGTGTTGTCTGGTCTACGTTTTCTTTCCTGATGTCTGCTATTTCGATGATTTTGCTTGTCCGGGTTGTCTCGGTTGCTTCTATCCGGGAACCTCTCTCGTGTCTTCTCTTCCGCAGTAATCATCTTTTCTACTGTTCGTCTGAATTCTTCATTGTTTCTCGGATTTTCTTTGTAGAAGTCTTGAAATTGCCACCTAGCCATGATTCCATGAGAGAAAGCTTCAATTACTTCTCGTTCGGTGATGTCATGTACTTGAGCTCGTAGTTCGCTGAATCGTCGATAGTAATCTCTGAGACTTTCACCTCTCTTCTGCTTGAGTCCTTTTAACTCTGCGTGGGTGATTGGGTGTGTAATGATCCCTGCAAAATTTTCACAGAAAGCTCTTTGCAAGTCCTCCCAATTTCTGATTGATCATGGATTCAATTTGTCGAACCATTGGAGAGGCATGGTTTCCAGGGCCATGGGAAAGAATAGGGTCTTGATATCATCGTCTCCTCCGGCTAGTTCAATCGATTGTGAATATATCCTAAGCCACTGCCTTGGTTCAGTTTTGCCATCATACTTAGAGTGGTTGGACGATTTGAACTTGTGAGGTAGTCGTATTGACGCAAGTCTGTTTGCAAAATAGGGGAATCTATCGTGCATTTTGGCTTCTTTGAATTCCGATTCGGCACCTCCTTCTGGCCAACTGTTGTTTTGATGAGAGTAATCCTGCGAGGCTGTCTGGGCAGGCGCCCTATTCTGGTCTTTCTTGGTTGTTCAACTCGGTGGCTCTGACTATGGTCCCTTCTACTTTCTCTGTTATGACTTCCACTTGGTCCAAGTCTCTTGAAAGCGGACTTTCTTTGATTTTGATCTTCTTGCCTATGGGTCGTTGATCTGGCGGGTAGTCTTGAGTGGGTCCTTTCTTCATGCGTCCTCAGGGCTGCTGACCGGAGAAAGTCCCGGAGCTGTTCTTGTTTTTCACTAGGATGTGAGGTCGCTCTGAGTTCTTCTAATGCTTCTTGGATCTTATCGTAGTGCGTATTTGCCGTGCGTCTTTCTTCGACTTCTCGTTGTGATTTTCTTCTGTCGTACTCGGCCAACTCTGACTCATATCTGATCCAAGCTTCCTTGCGCTGCCTAGCACGATGTTGGCATCCTTGCTTCAACTTGTTTTTTCTTTCTCTGGCTTGTTTCTGATTCTCGGTCTCACCATCGTAGCCCTGGGCAAAGGGTGATATGTTGGATTCTGATTCATCCGATGACCTGACATCGGGTGCTTCTGTTATTAGCGTTAGTTTCCACACTGTCGGAGTTGCTGATAACTTTAGTAGAGGCCTTGAGGTCGCAGATCGAGTCTCCTTCTTGGTAGGGTAGAATTGCCGTTGTCATCGTGTCGACCAGTCGGGTACTGCTATCCTCAGGAACAGAGCCCGGCCAGTGGACGATGCAGTCTTGAGATGTTATAGTTAGTATGAGACCTTCCTGAGCTCCCTTCAGTGGAATTCTAAGCACCGGATCAAGGAATCCTCCGGGCCGTGTCTGATAAGATGTTGCCATGTTGTGGAGTCCGAGCGGAAAAGGATCTGACTTCTTGAAAAAATTCTGCGTGTACCCTGAGTTGTATTCTTGGTAGGTCAGGGCCGCGTTCTTAAGCCCCACCGGAAAAGAACTCGGTTTCTCGAAAGAACTCGGATAAGACTCTATCTCGGATGCGGAGCCTGAGTTTGAGTCGGATGCGCAAAGCCACGAAACCTGAGTTGAATCGGACATCATGAGCTGCGCGAATCTTTTGGTGATTTGATCTGTCGTAGTCGCCGAAATAGAATAGTCTTCATGGTGATTCGAATCCTTGAGGAGACGGCTTTGGAGCTTGCCATTGTCATCCGCCTCGCAGATCCATGAGCCAAAGATGAAAGTTGATCCCATCGAGAAGATCATGCTGTCGAGGTCCATCGAGCTCTCGGATGCAAATTCACCGAAAGCCCCTACCTGGCGCGCCAGCTGTCGATGTTTTACCACCGATAGCCTACCACGGGGGTCCCCGGGGCAGTATGTTCGGGCTTCAGCTTATGCGGAACTCGACGGTGAACGCAAGAGACAGTCGATTTATCCTGGTTCGGGCCCTCGATCGTTGATCGAGTAATAGCCCTACGTCCAGTCGGCATTAACCTTTGCGTTGGATTGATTGTGTGTTGTTGCGTTGTTTTCGTCGTCATCTCTAGGATCCTGCCCTCCTTTATATAGTCAGGAGGTCAGAATCCTAGTCGGTTTACAATGAGAGTTCCTAGTAGGATTATAGAATAATACTACTACTAAGATTACATGGGGAGAATCCTAGTTAGACTAGATCTTCTCTCTTCCTTGCGGGGTATCCTATGGGTCCCGCACCGACAGTCACGCCTAGCCAAACATGCCCGCTCAGACAAGAGTAGGCACGCCGCACTGACCCCGCAAGGACCGAGAGGACAGCGGTCACCTCGGTCCGGTCAGATGCCACCCCTGCGCCACACAGCACAGACAAGACAACACCGCCCAAAGCAGTGATGGCCGGTACGGTGCCCTCCGTCTAGGTACGGCCCAACAAGACGCATGTACGATTCTACCCACTACGGGATGTGATCTACGACAAGGGCCTTGACTTAGAGGCCATCCAGACCGGCGGGAGCCACGTCCCCAACGCTAGGGATCGTGGCCATCAGCTCCACAAGCCAACAGGGTGATCAACGATCTAGGGGTGGCTACCAACTCTTGTACGATGCCCCTGAAAACCAGGAGGTGGTGATGAAAACCACGACGGAGACCATGTCGCATAGGACGGCTGGCGAACTATCGTCGTGCCTACAGTGCCACCATGGCCGGCACAGTAGCACCACGTCACACCGTGCCGCACCATGGCCACAAGACCATGACGACAACCATGCCCAGACATGCACCACAAGACGGCGTAGCTTGGAAGCCAAGTTAGCTAGGTCCTCCCTCGGACTCTCGACCCTTCGATCATGAAAACCTTCTGCTCTGTACAAGCCCTGGTCCCGGACTCTATATAAGGACAGCTAGGGCATCTATCTTGGGACTCTTTCTCAAACTCTCATTCACTCATTTTACACCGTAGAAGGGCTCCTAAAGCTTCCCTTTAGGTAGCCCATCTCTTAGCTCTAGCTCTCCTACCTCTTACACTATTTTTACACCTCCATTATAAGAGCTTCAGAGCATGAGCGAGAAAGACGCGCTTGATCATCTCCACCATTCAAGCTATCAAAGATCATTATTGAAACGGACTGCCAAAAATTAGTGGTGCTATAGAATTCTAGAACTAATAATAGGTGTGCTATTATTCTCCACACACACATAAAAAAAAAGTTGTTTCAAAACAATCGATTGAGCGAGTTGTTCACCTCCGATTACCATTTTGCCTTTTCCGCTCGGCACCTGCCATCTATCGAACATCGAAGGCACACGCACGATCCAAATATGCCTTCGGCGCCGCTCGTCGCGGCTGCCGTCGGCGCGCGCGTCAGCCTCCGCCCGAACCTCTCCCTCCTCGCCGACCGCTGCGCCACACCTCGCGCCCTAGCCCGCGTGCACGCGGCCATGATCGTCTCCGGCCGCCTCGCCGAGGACGCTTTCGCCGCGTCCCGGCTCCTGACCGCCTACGCGGCGCTCTCCCCAGATCCCGCTGCCGCCGCACTCGCGCTCCTCTCCTCCCTCCCCTGCGCGCCCAACTCCTTCATGCTCAACACCACACTCCGCGTGCTCGCCTCCTCCCCGGACCCGGCCGCCGCCTTCCCCTTCTTCTCCCGCCTACGCGTCACTGGTGCCCTCGCGCCCGGCCGGCACACCTTCCCATTCCTCCTAAAGGCCGCCGCGCGCCTTCCGCTCCCGCTCCCCGTCACCGAACAGCTCCACGCGCTCGCGGTCCGGCACGGGATACACCTCGACGCCTACGTCGCCAATGGCCTCGTTCGGGGCTATTCAGTGGCGGGCCGCCTACGGGCCGCGCGCAGGGTGTTCGACGGGGTGCCCGAGCGGAACGCGGCCGTGTACACTACCATGGTCTCCGCGTACGCGCAGAACGGGCGGCACGAGGACGCGATGGCGGCGTTCGACGAGATGGTTCGCGTGGGCTTTGAGCCTGGTGGCGCCGCGCTGGCCTCGGTGCTGTCGGCGTGCGCACGATCGGCGTCAGGCGGGCTCGAGATGGGGCGTCACGTGCACGACCTAATGGTGGCACGGGGCATGGCAGTTGGCACCATCCTCGGCACGGCGTTGATCGATATGTACGTAAAAAATGGCGCGATCAAGGAGGCGTTTGCAGTGTTGGACGGGCTGCCAGAACGGCACGTGCCGGGTGCATGGAACGCTCTCATCTCGGGGCTGGCGCACCACGGGCACAGCGAGCGCGCGCTCGACCTTTTCAGGCGGATGCAGCAGGAGGGTGTGCCACCGAACGCAACCACACTCGTCGGGGCGCTCTCGGCATGCTCCCACCCAGGGCTGCTGGACGAGGCCCGCCGGCTGTTCAGGTCCATGGAGAAGGACTTTGGGATCACTCCAGGAATCCAGCACTACGGATGCATGGTGGACCTCCTTGGTCGTGCCGGCCTCTTGTCGGAGGCAGAGGATATGATACGGAGAATGTCATGCGAGGCGGACACCATGATATGGGGAGCACTCCTGACAGCCTGCAAGAACCACGGTGGCATTGAGATTGCGGAGCGGGCAGCGGTGGAGATGCTGAAACTGGATCCCAGTAACCATGGAGTGTATGTGGTACTGTCCAACTTGTATGCCGAGGCTGGTAGGTGGCAGGACGTGGACAAGCTGAGGAAGGAGATGAAGGGAGCACGGCTCTCTAAGATCCCTGGGGCAAGTGCAGTTGATGGTGATGGGTCACTGGAGCAACCAGAGTCACCGCCACCGCAAGGGAATGTGCTTGTCTAGTTGTCCGGTTGGGGCTTTGTGCTCATGAAGTGAAGTTCTGCTGCAAGTTTGTGACAATCTCCAGAAAAGATGATGCAGCTAGGAGAATAATGGATGGATCAAATGCATCTAAGGGATCAATATTAGATAGCTGACAAGTGTGTAGACAAATACGGAGCATTGCAACACTTCTGAGAATATGCATATCATCATCATTAACACCGAATGACAGCAATACTAATTCGGTATGGTAAATATGCAGATGAGTTGTCTACAGAGTACAGACGCCCAAATTCAGCATGATACCAGTACATCATCACTCTAATTTGTTGCTAAAAAATTTCTCCCAGAAATCAGAGAAAGGGAGGTCCTATACAGTTGAACCATCAACTCAGTTCTGTTCTCCAGCGAATTCGGTATTTTGGTTACTAGCAAAGCAGGCTATATGATGGCATGTCTTCGATGCGGATGACATCGTCCAGCATAAGCTCCCTCTCCAGCTGGGCTCTTGTCGACTTCAGCACCTCCTGGTAGTGGCATCACAAACATGAGATCAGTAGAAGATTTGCACTTTGAGTTGAAACATAGGATGAAATGTGCATACGCAGAACGTACATTGAAGTCCATGTAAGACGCGTTCTTGTCCAGCCACTGCTTGTCCATCACAACAAATGCGACGCAGTAGAGCAGATCAAATGCCCACTCATCCTCTGGGACAAGGAAATCAAGGGCAAGTTGTTAGATACTGATGGTATTTTCACATGTCAGAGCAAAAAACAAAGAAAAAGTCAACTGTAACAGTCCTACCTGAGAGCATTTGGATAAAAATGGCTCGCACAAATGTTCTTGGCTTAGCTGTTGTTAACATTAACATTGTGTTCAGAAAACCACATTTTTATAATCATACCCATGTGGCATTGGAGAGTTTGGGTCAGTCCTTACTTGACTGGAGATCGAGCATCTGCATGATCATGAATGTAATATTTACACCAGCAACTGCAAATGGGTACTCCCATGTGGCTCTGTTACCACACTGTTTCTTTAGAAGTCTCTGAAATGAGGCCTGTGGAAGTAAAATATGATTGTTATTCACCAGCAAAACTAGAGGAATTTCAAATAATGAAACAACCAGTACATAGTGCTTACGGAGAATGTCTTGGCAAAGAACAAAAGATTCTCCAGAGATATGAATCCTGCACCTCTGTCACATGTATTCAAACGTCACTTGATTTGGTACTAAAAGCTGTATGCACTTCCAAAGGTACTCTCAGAAATTTTGGTTCGGATCAGTCATTGTCTACCTAAAGTCAGTTGATGGGTCTCTTCCTTGCCAACCCATGTCCTTCCACTGTTCAGATATCAAACCTTGAAGTTCTTGATCAGGGTATGTTGCATGCCAAAGAGCTTTCAGAGCTTCCTGTCATTGTTAGTATATTTGCTTACCAGGGTTCAGTTGATTGAGATAGCGAAATAAACAGACATAACTACCCAGGTGCAAAAACTACTGCCAAGCTGAGAAGTCAGCCGTAAACATTTTGCAAAAGAAATGTGTACTTGCTGATTTCTACTATATGCATAATTTTCATGATTTAGTACTGCATAATTATATTTTTATGCTGTACCACATAAATATCCATGTATAGAAACTAATGCCAAACTGATTATGCAGTACTAAACATTTTGCATAACTTTTTAGTTCCTAATTGCCATCATATATGTATGACTCAATACCACAAAATTATGCCGCCAAGTGCATAGACTGATTTAATGATCTCAGTTCTTAGAAGTAGCATTGTTAAAGTATTCAAGCTGAAAGTGATGCATATATAGAAGTACCGATGCGAGCAGCTGTCCAGTCCAGGAAAGCACAAGATTCCCAGTGGCAAAGAAAGGTAAGTACTTATACTTTATTTCAAATCATGAAAAATAATACAATTCTTTTTGGAGCAACTGTTCTATGCAATTCAGTACTTCCCACATTATATTGACAAGAGCAAGTGCAGAGCTAATCAATTGAATGAAACATTTACTGTACTTATGGCAGAAATCTCACCTGGTGATCTCGTCTAGATGGATCAAAGTAAACCTTCATGCGATGCTTCAATCTCTGAAGCCTTTCTTCCTGCAAATTACCAGCAATTGGAATAGAATAACAAGTGGTTTCAGCCTCATTAAGCAGCTTGCCTGTTAAAGTCGTTAGCTTTACTACTTTTAACCCAATATGTGATATTGATACAGCGCCTGCGATGAGGTGAACGGAGAGGAGGGTGGAGGAGAAGGATGGACTGGGAATTGGAGCACAAGGGGTAGTGAGGAACGTCGGCGGTGGGTTCTTCTCTGGTGGGCGCGGCTGAAGCGCTCGACGCCACCGTCGAAGGGAAACTCCCACCCCGATAACCAGGGAGAGTTTATTCCTTCTTCGATAACCATTACAATCTCCTAAGGTGCTCCTTTATAGTATAGGTGCACTTTCCTAAACAAACTCCAATCTAATCTCTCCCTGATCTAATCTACTAAAGAGTCCAGCCTAGCCACGGCTTGGGCCTGCTGGCTGGCGTGATTGACGCCTATAGGTATGTCCAACAAAGGAGTCTATAACAGATATGGATACAGAAACACTGCAATTAAGGATTTTGCCCCAAAAAAAATACTTGATGCACACGAAAAGACATTCTCTAGATAATTTTTTGAGCAGGACCACCTATTTTGCTATGTCTATCCTTCAGAGTTTAAATTGTACATTGAAATCACAGGACCACCAAATACTCAATGTATTGTAATAAACTAATACTAGCTTAAAGGAAAAAGCCTTGGAAGTCCTTTTTGAGTGGTCATTTGCCACCATAGAAACTCTTGCAAAATAATTCTAATAATTAACTGTTAGTCTGTTACCTGCACTGGTGTGAGGTTCATGCATATTCTTTCACATGTGCCTTTTCGCTTGATGCACACACATGAGAGGCCTCTCCCTATCCATCTCGGTGATCCACATGACGCTTCATCTGCACAAGGACAATCACATTACATCACATGATCAGTGAACATGAAACATGTATTTCTCATAAAACCAGCTGTACATATGTCCCAAACTTGATATCATCTATATATGTGCTGGACTAAAAGTAAAAACCAAAAAAAAAAGGTGAGCTGAGACAGGAGGAATATCAGAACTGGCAATTTTGGCCCACAGTGCTAGCTGCCCCAGCATCCCAGAGCCAAAAATTCTTCGGGGCCAGGGATCTCAGAGCTATTGACACTAGCCTTGTAAGCCATCTTAAATACTAGCTTGGACTCTTAGTATTATACTGAAATGGATCTATCATGATAGGATGAAGACAGAGCAAGTATTTTTGAATCCTACCAAACTGATACCACCCCCTAACATGAGGTCACAGTACATGACAATGTTCTTAATCTGAGGCAAACAGCCCCTAGAGTTTCTCACCAACCACTGTTTTCATTGCCCAACAAATCTGCCAATGGATCTATCAGCGCCCAGATTTCCTACCAAATCGGATGCCTCCCACCGGTGAGAGACGTGTGAGCCCAACAAAGCCATGTCCAGAAGGCAAAGCAACTGTTGGCTTGCCTTGCTGTTGAGCTGAGCTGATGGTTCAGAATTATTTCTCGGAATAGTGGTTGATGTGTCTGGTCATGTGTATCTTTGAGGCAGAAAGGCGTCATCATTTAGTACCAAAATGAGCAGGGAAAGGGAGAGGACGGCAACAGATGAATCTTGCAACTCGGAGCACAACTGAAAATGCTGGTAGAGTACCGTGTGACCGTGGCAAACATTAAACACTATGGAAACGATAGATTAACCAGAAACTCTGAACATTTTATTTCAGGGACTGAAGTGATAAAAACCTAAAAAAATTAAAAACAATGCTAGGATTCACTACAATACAAATTGTAAAAAAGAAGAGAAAAAATGAGGAAGTACGAGTTTTTCTTTTTAGGCCCCGTTCGGCTGGTAGAAACTTAACTGAAACTGGCTGATTGTATGAGAGAGAAACACTGGTGGCTGGTTTGATAAACAGTACCATGAGAGGCAAACCAGCCGGCTGGTCTGATGGCTTCAGACCAGCGAACGCCCCCGATATTCTTATGCGATCAACGCGGTCTGTCAGTCTTTCAAACATGGAGACATCGGCAATAACGTATACTTCCATGTTTACTAATCAACAAAGTTTCACATCCTACCGTGGGAACTAATGGCCGACTAAAACTTCAAACAAAACTGGGTACAAGTATTTTGGCCCCAGAATATGCTTTTTTAGCCTCTGAAAAAGGAGAAAGGACAAGAACCATGATTAGTTCCTCTCTCTAGGTTTATCCTGCCTCTCCTAGGCTGCTAAATGGTGGCAAAAGCGACACCAAGTACAGGATTGAGAGGCGCATGCAGTGCTGACTTTTTTTACATGGAAAATCGCAGCGTCCTGCTACCAATTAGGGGTAGGTGCTAACATCAATACGCCGCAAAGTGACATTGCCCAAAAGATGAAAAGAACGCCAAATGCAGCAAAAGTCGTGAAAAGAAAAGGACCGGCCCCGGTCCCTGCAAGGATTACAACAGCTCCTGAAAAGAGTGCAAGAAAAGAAGTGATGAATGAACTCTGCAGGAACAGAGGAATATCATTGAGCATCAGCACGGCGAGGCCCACCGCAGAGGAGAATATTCGCCGCTTCAAGAACACCAAGAAGACAGTAAGGACTTGTTTAAATCCAATGCGTAAAGTTGGGGGTGTCATATTGAGTGTTACGTTGGGTGTTCGGATACTAATAAAAAAATAAATTACAGAATCCGTCAATAAACCACGAGATGAATTTATTAAACCTAATTAATTCATCGTTGACACATGTGGTACTGTAGCGCCGTGTTGTCAAATCATGGCCTTTTTAGGTTTAAAAGATTCGTCTTGCAAAGTAGTCATAATCTATGCAATTAGTTATTTTTTTTTGTCTATATTTAATACTCTATACATGTGTCGAATATTTGATGGGATAGGATGTAAATTTAT